GTTGTGACTCCAGAAGCCTAAACATGCAGCCGTATCTGCAACCTCACTTTCGTAGTCTATAGAACAAAGAAGAACAAGTCAGTCATCTGTGGCCCAGGATCTGCATCATCATCAAGAACAAGCATGTGACATCAAGGTCTTTGGGGGCTGGAGATAGGACTCAGTCTGTAGAGTACTTGCCTAGCACTGGATACACAAAGCCTTGGATTCGATCCTGCACCACATAAAACAGATATGGTAGCACACATCTGAACCCCCAGCACTTGGCGGTGGAAACAGGAGAATCAGGTGTTCAAGGCCAGCCTGGGTTACTTGAGAACCTATCTCCAAAACACAAAAAGACCTCCTTCCATGATGTTCTGCCAACTTCAGAGTCCTGACTGCCCTTCCTGACAAACATGTATTCTTCTCTTCTCAGTATGTATCCTGGCTAGTTTTATGTCAACTTGACACAAACTAGAGTCATCTGAAAGGAGGGAACCTCAATTAAGAAAATGCCTCCATAAGATCTGGCTGGAGGGCATTTTCTTAATTAGTGATTGATGGGGGAAGGCCCAGCTCATGGTGGGTGGTGCCATCCCCGGGCTGATGCTCCTGGGTTCTATAAGAAAGCAGGCTGAGCAAGCCATGGGGAGCAAGCAGCACCCCTCCATGGCCTCTGCATCAGCTCCTGCCTGCCTCCAGGATCCTGCCCTGTTTGAGTTCCTGTCCTGACTTGCTTCAGTGATGAACAGTGATGTGGAAGTGTAAGCCAAATGAACTCCTTCCTCCCCAACTTGCTTTTTGGTCACAGTGTTTCACCGAAGCAATAGAAACCCTGAACTAAAACAGTATGTCTCCCCTCCTCCTTCCCTCTCCCTCCTGCTCTTCACTGCCCTTGAGGCAAACACAGAGCCATGAGCACCCCAGGTCTGCAGGCCTGTCTGGAAGTCACGAACAACCCATCTGCCTGTGGCCAACTCTGTCTCTGATACGTACACCTCCGCCCCACGTTGTCTTGCCTACTTAAGTGAAAGGTGTAAACAAAATCAGATTGGAAATGGCTAATTGCTTTAGCCAGGAAGAATAATGACATTAAGAGCCACTTAAACTAGACATCTCTGCCCAAACAACATTATGAATAGACCGGAAGATCTGGGGTTCTCGCCAAACCACCCACCAAGAACTCAGCCTAGGCCTCAGGAAGGTCCTGGGCCTCAGGAAGCAGCCACTGTGTAACAAGCAACCCAAGGCATCACAGGGTCCATCTCTAAAGGCAGAGGAAACAGGGTCCCTGCTTCTCAGACACTGAGAAGTGCCCACTGTTAACTGCCACTTTGTTTAATGAGATAGTTCATAAACTCAAATGTATAGAAAGAAGAAACTTTGGATGAAATCACTGGCTAGCTTGCTAGTTAGGACTCCCCACCTCCTCACCACTACCCCCAACACACACACACACACACACACACTTTGTTCTTCTGAAACATAGCCCGGGCTGGCCCGGAACTTACCAAAAAGCAGAGGATGACCCTGAACTCTTGATCCTCTTCCTCTACCTTCCTAGGAGGTTAGGATTTTTTCCTAATAAATAATTCTACAGTCATGCACGCACCGCCGCCGCCCCCCCCCCCGCCCCCCGACACATACACACTCTGCCACCCTGCTCCCACACAGCCACCGTTATTCACAGGCACCACAATTCAAAAATATTAAATGGAAAATTCTAGAAATAATAAGTTTCAAATAACGTTCACTGCGGGATATTGTTACGGCAGTTCCATTTTATCATTAGCTGTTAATCTCTCACCGTGCTTCATTGATTAATATGTTTTGGCGGTGGGGATAAAAAATGCAGGGCCACTGAGCTGCGTCTAGGCTCCTGTCGTTCATTTGTGTAAACCAAGTTTTGTCATGGGCTAACAAGGAACAAACAGGGTGTGCATAGGTTTCAGAACTCCATGACCCCCTAGAAGGGGGGAGCGGTCTCAGAACACATCCCCATGAATGAAGAAGTTATATTTGTCCCCGTTAATACAGCAGAAAGTCTGTTGATCGCTGTTGCTTCTTTTGTTGCCTGCAGAACATTCTAGAAAATGTCAGGTTGTGGAGATGGATATACATCAAATAGAAAGCCCTCAAATTTTCTAGAGACAGAAGAAATGATATCTCTCTCTTCCTCTCCCTCCTTCCTTCCCTCTCTCTCCCTCCCTCCTCCCCTCCCTCCCTCCCTTTCTCCCTTCCTCCCTCCCCCCTCCTCTTCCTCCCTCTCTCCTACAACTCAATGCTTGAATCTAACCTCTGCTTGTAGCGCTCATGACAACAAGTACTGGCACTATAGGGCTTATCTAGAAAAGTAAAATAACAGATGGTGTGCTTAAGGTTCTCAGGCACAGAGTGAGGGGGGCATTTCCTGCTGGGTCAGAGATCCCTATCTCAATAAATATTTGCCCAGCTCCTGTAATATACACCAGCCTGTAATATTAGACTGTGTACACCATGCATCCAAGCAGGAACCTGAAAGGTTAGCCCTCGCCCGTTTCATAATCTAGCACCAACCACGCCACTTGCATATTTGTGTCTTAGGGGTTACAACCTCGGCATAGAAATACCAAAGTCTAATCGTGGTAGTCACTGGGATTAGCAACGGGGGAAGCTATCCAGGGGCGTTTTAACATTTTTCTTTCAAACGCCTCTCTGTAAAACGTGATTTCTTTTTATCTGGCACATCTGTTGCCTTTGAAATAAGACAGGGTTAATTATTTAAAGCTGCGGACACACAGCACACATCACACTTCTGTGAAAGAGACGTGGATACCACAGCTTTTCCATTTCAGGCCTCTGAATAAACATTTTAACATAATAAATAATAAAAATAAACATTTTTTCAGCCTACCAAGGAGCCCTGATCTCTGTTTGAAGGAATCTTTACACAGTGTTAACAACCATGTTCTTTACAGATTTTAAAACGCTGCTTGAGAGACCTTAATGCCAAGCAATCCTGAAGGCATGCTTAAGGTCACAGTCATGGCATCCCTCAGGGCCAAGGCACTCTTCGGTAATTGATCATCCCCTATCTGAGCCTTTGGGTCAATGGGGAAGACTTCCTGTTTTCAAACAGCTGGAGAATCTATCTTCCCACTCCCCCTTCATAGTTAAGCAATTCAAACGTTCTATACCCTTCCAAAGTAAGAGGAAATGTAGATGCAGTTGTTAGTGATGTGTGTTCAGTTCAAGTCAGCAACAATCGTGCACCAAAAAAACAGATCAGTCCATTCCAAACACGGCAAAGATTCATACACGCTATCAGACCATTCCATAGCTCTCAGGCCCAGAACAACAAAAATTTGAAAACGTTCAAAAAGTAATGAGCCTTCAAAATACTCTTCTGGGATGCCTAAGATAACAAACATTACAGGGTAACTGTTAACGGGTCTTGACTTGGAGTTGACACATATTGGACACAATTGAAAAAAAAAATGAAGAAATTATGACCCCCTCCTTCAGCCAAGCCAGGCCCTCCTCCACAGCCTTATTCATGATTCCTTCTGGCTTTTTGGGACCAACAGCTGCTCACTATAAATGATATCTACTGTGGAATTAATTTGAAGCCATTATATAGATAGTGATAAACATTTAAGTTACATGGTGTTTTCCATGCAATTCCCTCCTTTGAGGATATCTTCTTTATTTGTTCAGTGAAGATTTGCGGCTCTCTCATCATGGGAGCTAAATGGTTACCAAGCACACATCCTATATCCAAAATATGAGAGGCACATAACAGACCATTTCCACCTCTTCACAGGGCAAAAGAAATCAGAGGGATTAGGTGTGAATTCAAGTATATGAAACATATAGCGTCTGGGTCCTTTCCTCAACAGCACAGTCATTATCATCACTCATTTCCATCAATATCATCTCTGTCATCACCATCATCTGCATTATCACTAATAATATCATCAACATCACCATCAATAGATCACTGTCATCATCAACATCACCATCAAAACATAATTGTCATTATCAATATATCACTATCATCAGCATCAGCATCAACATGAATTTATTACTGTCATCACTATCAATACCATCACCATCATTATCATCATCATCCCCCCATGGCCACCATCTGTTCATCTGCAGCTGCTGTGTCTACCATGTGACATCATCACCTCCCCTGCCATCTTGCCGCCTGGAGTCTGAGGCTCACCACCATTTGATTTCGCCAGATCCTCACTCCATGTCACCCACAGGCAAGTTCCGCTGGCTCAATTTCTGCTTCATAATCCAAATGCAAAAAGAACAATTACAGTAGTCAGCGCCTGGCCAACCACTTGCAGGGTGAAAGCCTGTATGCAGAAGCAGGAGTAACTGAAGTTTTACCTCTCAACTCCACCTCTTGGTCACAGTGTGAACTTCCCTGTGTTCGGGCCACACCTCTCTCTGCATGGGAAGCTTCAAACCAAATGCCATCCAAAGAAATCGCTTTTCTTCTCAACTACTCCACGTACTTCAGTGACTCCAGAGTAGTGAAATCAGAACGGACTTCAGTGCAGACCTGAACGTGAATTTCCCAAGTCTTCTCCCTCGTTCAGAGGAACACCCCCCCCCCAACATACTCCTGTGCCAAACACCTGGAGGTCGTGCTTGTCTGAATGCTCCTTGCATTCACATTGACTTGTAACAACCCTCAGAACCCTCAGATACAAAATGTGACTTACAATCAACATCCTAAGCTAGACTCGAAAGTCCTTAAAAAACAAACTGGTCCAGCCTACTTTTCCATGATTGGTGTTCCAGACAGACCGCTCTACTCCCCATACATCTGACCTCAGGACCTTTGCACTGCTACCTCCCAGGATAGAACCTTCGAAAGAGCACAGACCATCTTCAGCATGTTCTTCATTCCACCTCCCCAAATCAAAGACATGCAGCTAACATTCAATAAATTTGTCTTGACAAAACTGCTGAGCCATGAAGACCAGACACAGCCCTTATATGCCACAGGAAGGACTACTTACCACCAAGCACTCCAGCTGGGTTCCCTGTCTCTAGACACGGTGGGAGTCTTCCCAGTGTTGGGTCTGTCAAATGGTCTTTAGCGCCTGTGGTCTTCAGGTATGCCGGGTCATTTCTAAAGAGCAGGAAAGAGCACACACACATGAGTTCCTGCAGGCAGAAGTGCCTCAGCTCAGCTTTCAGTCTCTTCTACACTCCTCCATATCTGAGGGGCAGGAGAGTCAGGATGACGCTACTCTGTCCCTGTCAACACCAGCTGAGAGAGTGGCTTGACTCCCAGTCCTCCCAATCTGGAACTTTCTCTTCCTTCACCCAGATTTCCTGGTCAGCAACTATGAAAAACCATATACTCCTGACATAGCCCTTCCCAGGAAGGTCATTTGTAGTTCATGCTGATTTGAATTCACTCTGAATCCAAGGATAACCTTGAGTTTCTAATCTCCCTACCTCCAGTTCCCAAGTACTAAGACTGTAGGCAGGTGCCTCCAATCCCAGTATACACATATACTGGGATTGAACCCAGGGTCTCCTGCATGTTACACAAGCAGTATACCAACTAAGCCACACCCTTAGCCCCTCCATGATCCTTAAGTAAGTGTCTTCCAGGTTCTGGACTCTGCAAGAAAAATGTATTTAGGGCTTGCTCTGGTTTTCTTCTCCTTAGCTGTGATTTTAAAAAAAAGAAAAAATGACCAAAAGCAACTTAGGAAAAGGGTTATCTGACTCACACTTTAAATACAATCCAACTGTAGGTGATTTAATGAGCATGCCCCCCAAAGTTTCATATGTTTGAATGCTTGGTCCCCCCATTGGTGGAACCATTTGGGAAGGACTAGGAAGTATAGAGATGGAGGAGGAGTGTCCCTGGGGATGGGCTTTGAGGTTTCAAAAGCCCATGCCATTCCCAGTGTGCTCCCTCCACCTCCTGCTTGTGGATCTGATATAAACTCTCAACTACTTCTCCAGTGCCATGCCCGTCTGCCTGCGGCCATGTTCCCCACCATGACAGTCATGGACTCTAACCCTCTGAAACTGTAAGCCCCAAATAAAGTTTGTCTTCTATAAGTTGCCTTGGCCATGATGTCTTATCACAGCAATAGAAAAGTAACTAAGATGCCAACATTGAGGGAAATCATCGCAGGAACTGAAGCAGAAGCCATGGAGGAACACTGCTCACTGGCTCACTCACAAGCTTATGCTCAGCTAGCTTTCTTATATAGCCTAGGCCCACTTGCCTAGGGATAGTACTGCCCACTCACATCAATCATCAATCAAAATACTCTCGTTACACACGCCTGCAGACCAATCTGATCAAATCACTTGGGACATCCTATTCCTAGGTGACTCTAGATTATGTCAAGCTGACAATAAAAAAACTAACCAGCACTGGGCTCATTACCCAGACGGGGCTGATGGACAGGGGGTACAGGTCAACATGGGGCTTGCTCTAATCTTGGCCCTTATTATCAAAACAGAACTGATCATCCAGAAAGTATTTTCATAAACCAAATAAATAAATAAAAATCAATAGAAAAACCAACCAACATGAGGGGATGACCACTTAGCCATCAGGTATCAAAGAGCAGAAATGTCTGAGTGTCACCCATGACCTTGCACCAACCTTCTGCAAGGCTGGTTAACTGATTAGAACCCCCATAATTGAGGAGAGGTTGGGATGTTGCAGGTCCAGAGCCCAGTTATAATTTATCTTAGGCCATCTTTAGTCCCCTTATAAATAGGCATTTATAACCTGCCTCTGTACATGAACTAACATCATGGCAATCATTAGCAAATCCTTTGGAATGTATAAACAGACCCCCTCCTTTCTACCAACCAAAAGGCTAAGAGTGACATCCAGTAGCACCTGAGTCCTATGGCAGAGGTTTTTCTGGCTTTACTATAACCTGCCTGCCTGATGCTTCCACCAGTGAATTTGAAAAGTGACTTGCTTTATGACTTTGTGACTATAAAACCTTCATGAATGTGTTAGTGTGTTGATACAAGTAACTTCGGCTAACCCAAGTCTTTGTTCCCTGGCCAGGGTCACTCATATTTGGCTCCAGAATGAACTATCTCTTATCCCCTTTGAGATGAGAGCTGTGTTTCTGGGTTCATACTCCAGACCCTCTAATTGAGATAAACACAGTATCAGACATTGTTTCTTTTCTCTCTTATTTTGCTAAAACAAGATTTTCAACTGTCTAGAGTCAAGAGGATAAGATGACAACTTGAACCACCCTGGGTTTCATCAGCAGACTCACACGTGACCCTGGCAGGAATTCAAACAGTGTGAGTGACAGCCAGGAAGAACAAAAACAGCCAGGCCTCATTTCAGACTTCAGAATTGAAAACCCATCTGCATGGTTGAGATTCAATTTCTTTCAATTAAGCAAGCGCTTGCCGAATACCTCTGCCCCTCCTGGCAGTCCCAAGACCAATGGTGAATGAGATCCAGTCTTTTCAGGACTTGGGGCTGGTGGAGAAGGGTGGAATGTTCACGTATAATTTCAACTGGAGCTGGAATCTAATAAGATTAAGAGGATATGCAAGGAGGATGTGCAGGAAGGCTGTCTAGACAGGAGAGCGAGCCTTGCTTTCTGGGGCTATTTAATGAGAGTACTCCGGATGAAGAGGGGGCAGACAGAGCCCACAGGAGGTCACCATATTAGAAACAGAGAAATGAGTCTGTCTGTGGGCGTTCCTCCCCGCTCCAAAGGTGTCCTGTTCTTGAACATCACCCCATACCAGCTTCACTTAGATACGAGGCTGGAAACACCAAGTTGATAAAAGTCTAATCCAGAAGCTTCCACAGTTCCCTTCCAGCCACCTAGATGGAGCCCATCTCGGACACCTACTAAGCTTTTTAGACTTCTCTCCAGGATCAAGCAGTCCCCCTCCCCCACAAATGACCCTTCATTCAAACCAAACCTCCCATCTAGATGTCAAGGTTCAGTGATGTGTGACTCAGTGGGTAAGAGATACTTCCATCCCTGGGACCCACGAGAGAACCAACACTCCCAAAAGCTGTCTCCTGACCTCCACAAGCTATCCAAAGCAGAAGTATGTGTGTGGGGGGGGGGGGGCGACAAAAAAAACTTGATATTGCAAAGAAGTGTGGATCAGGGCAGGGGCAGGGACTCAACTGGGCCTGCTCACAAAAGATCATCCCCGCTGGGCTTGTTGACTTTTTATGTTCCCAGGAAGGGAGGGTCCTGGGGCCCTCACCTGAATATCTAGGCACTCGTCCCAACCAACCAATCGTATGCAGTTCTGTCCCTAATTGTATGTGGCCTCAGGGAGGGGCTAAAGATCTAGGGAAGGCCTAAGGAGGGAAGCTGGTACCACCAGGCATGGTATAAGCAGTCATTATTAATTGGTATTAATTATTAATTAATAATCAGTATTAATATGTGGATTGAAGATGGCATAATTTAAAAAAAAAAGAGGGGATGAATAACTCTAAGGAAAATTTAAGAAGCTGTGCAATGAAGAGCTGCAGTCCCCGCCACTGGCTGGGTCTCCGGCTAATACAACGTCAATGTTAACTGTCGACTAGAGCAAGGTAACACTTGATCACGCATTTAGGCTGTGGGGGTAACAGGTAATTCCTCATCCCTTAAAGGGTTCCCCAACCTCATCCGATCTACATTCTAGGCAGATAATTCTTTGAGTGGACGATTGAGCAGGAACCCTAAAACCAGATGCTACCAGCGCCCCCTCTCACACGACAGGCCTTCCCCTGAAAGACAAATTTGTCCTTGCCAGAGAACCACTCATCTGTCACTGCCTAAAGGGCTATTTTTTATTTATGAGATTTGATTAGTCAAAAAATAGTAGGATAGGGCTGGAGGGATGACTCTGCAGTTGAGAGTACTTGTTGGTCTTTCAAGAGACTGGGGTTCGGTTCCCAGAACTCACATTTATTAAAAAAAAAAAAAAAAAAAAAAAAAAAGAGGCACAGCAGGGCACACACTTGTCGTGTCTATACTGGAGAGACAGAGGTAAGCAACAAGGCTTATGGATTCTGAGGATCACCTAAGGTTGCCCTCTGGCCTCCACAAACACACACACACACACACACACACACACACACCACTCATGTACATGAGCAACCAATAATAATAATACATTTTTTAAGCGCAGGGCAGGGGAGATGGCCCACAAAAAATGTGAGGACCAGAGTTCAGATCCCCAAAACCCACATAAATACTCATAGCCCACCTGTAATGCCAGTACCCTAGATCTAGGAATCCCTGGAGCAAGCTAGCTAGCTACTTCTGGGTTCAAGTGAGACATCCTTCCTCAAAACATACGGTGGAATTCAATCAAGGAAGACACCCAACAGTAATGGCTGGCCTGGACACCGGAGTCACAGAGGCAAGTGCACCTACACACATGTGCACACACCACATGTGCACACACACATCGGTGCATCAAAATGCAGCTCTCCAGTGTGACCCTCTGCCTGGCAGAGATGCGTCAGGATTGTTGCCTGGCTTCCTCCATAGAATACTAAGCACCCCAGTCCCTCCCTGTTCCAGACCTGCTCCTTGGAGGCATCATGCTCTCTCAAGAAAACCATTAAGAAAGTATAAACAAGATGACAGAAATCATTCTAACCTGCAAGTTACGGGAACCTTCCCCAAACCCATTTTCAGGTGTGTGGTGTGCCTGAGTACAGATGCATGCTTTACATGTGTGTGGGCACACATATGTGGATACATGTGCACACATGCATGTGGAAGCGCAAGGCTGATGTCGGGAGTCATCCTCTGCTGCTCTTCCACCTTCTTCACTGAGGCAGCATCTGTCAATCAAACCCAGAGCTCACTAATACAGCTTGGCTTGCTAGCTAGCTCCTGTCTCAGCCTCCTGAGGCCAGAATTACGGGACGGGACGCGGCGGGGGGGGGGGGGGGGGG